GTTCATTATGGAATTTCTTGACTTTTCTTTCCTCTAAAGATACCTCAGGCCAAGTACAAAAGACTGCAACAAAAACAAAAAGGTATGGCTAATTTGAGTTTTAACAAAGCTGGCTATAAAATTGTTATATTTTGAGGTCTAATTTTTAGGGAATGTTAAAATCTGCTCTTATAAATCAACTACAATTTTAAAAATCAGTGATTTGCAAAACAGTTAAAAAATATCTTCTTGCATTTTAATTGCATGTTCTTTTTCATTCCAGGCCAGGAATGTACTCATCGTCAAAGAAAGTAAAACCAAACAGTCCCAGACACACTCTTGATATATTTTTTAAATGAATATTGAACATTTTACCATTGAACATTTTATTCTTACTTGAAACTTGTTACTTTATAGTCAACAAATCTCTAGTTCTTCATTAAGTTTACAAATTCATTTAGTGAAAGACAAGTGCAATAATTCCTTCCCAAATGACATTTCCTTCATATGAATTTGGAATATAGACTAGTTTACTTCTTTACACATTTTGGATAACCAAGAGAATTTCACTTCTATTATACATCAATCAGAAATCAGTCCTGTTACAGATCATTTTAAAATGAGAAATTAGGAATGAAATCAGAAAGTGATTTTTTTCATAATTACATTTTATAATAAATATAAAAACATATTTATAAGGGCTCTCAGAGGTTCTCACAAACCTATGTTAGCATAATAATATTTCAGCACTTAACCACTTTGTTGGCATTGGACTGCTATATTTGATTTTGGTAACTTCTACAACTTCATATATTCGTAGTTTACCTCCTGGGATATTCAAATACCTTGTGAGCCTTCATAATTAAAATTTATTCTAAGTTCTATGAAGAATATTAGCTGGGCAGAACAAGCCTGAAGGTTTCATTATCTTCAGGAAAATGATATCACAGTATTATCTTCTGTGTTAAAAGAATTCTTTAAAATTTGATTATCCCTTTTATTTTTTTATTTAGAATTCCTTTATGAATAAGCATGTGGCTCACTTTAACAATATTTAGTGTAAGATTCAAGGTGTTAGTTTCTGTATAGGACTTTTAAGTGGTGGTATTTCATTTCTTGACAGTTATGTTTATACTTTACACAGATCTATAAAAAAGGATAAATTGTATGCTCACTTTATTTTTATTGTAACCCTTTAGAAAGAAGTAATTCAAAAGATTAATGTGTATTAAAGCATCTCATTCATCTTAGTTATATTTCTATCACATTTTTGTTAATATTAATGAAAGAAGATAGCTTAATAGTGATCATTGTAGTTACTGCAAATACTTTTGTGCTATTAATAGAATTTTTTTCAAAAAACAATTAATTTAAACATGAAATGGAAGCCATTTTCTGTTACTCCTTTAAAGAACTGAATCTTTTGCCTCTTATATTTTTGTTGTCTCTTTTCCTACTTTTCATATGTTATAACTCATTATCTGAATTTATAAAGAAATAATATTTTAGGAATAGGTTAAATTAGAATCTCATACAGCTTTTGGCCAAAGTGGTAACTGACTTTAAATTATTGTATTATTATATTTATTATGCCAGTCTCAGGCCTAATTATTATCATATGCTATGGCAAGTTCAGAGTTCTTATGTGATTTATATATCTCAGTTCTGTACAAAATTAAGTTTAGTAAAGCACTGATTTAATGTCTTGAAAAGTTAATAGTATCATACTTTTTTTTCCATCTTGCCTCAGATTTATTTTTACTGTATTTTCAACTTTAAATATGAAATTATTTTCAGCTACGTGATTCATGTAATTGAATGTTATCATTTAGTAATATTTAATAATAATTTAAAATAAAATTGGAAGTGTTTCATTGATCTTTTAGCCAATAAAAATGGTTTTCTTACTTTTCTACTCTTTTCCCACCTCTGATTCTTTGTCTTTGATTCTCTTTGCCCCGAATTCTCTCCACATTTTCTTCTATTTAATGTATCCAACTTATTTACTTTTCATTATGATTTTGCTTTGGGGTATTTTTAGGAAATACAGCAAAACTACAAAGAATAACCACCTATGATCTTATCTACTTAGAGGGTCAGAACATAGGGAACCACCTGAGAGCATATTTACAACACATTTAACTGGCCCAAACTAGTATCCAGAATATATAATCCAGAAGGTAAAAATGACTCCTCTGTATTATTAAGAGACAGATAGCCAATAGAAATTTGGACAAAAGACTTTAAATGTCACTTTACTTAAAAAGAAGTCCAAATGGCCATGAAATATGAAAAATTCTCAGCCATTTTAGAAATAGGGAAATAAAAAATAAAACCACAAAGAAGTATCACTACATCCTACCAGATTCACAAAAATGAAAAGATCCAATGATACTAAATTTTGGTGATGTTGTGGAGCAATGTAAACTCTACTTTTTAAATTTTTTTTTTTCAACATTTATTTATTTTTGGGACAGAGAGAGACAGAGCATGAACGGGGGAGGGGCAGAGAGAGAGGGAGACACAGAATCGGAAACAGGCTCGAGGCTCTGAGCCATCAGCCCAGAGCCTGACGCGGGGCTCGAACTCACGGACCGCCAGATCGTGACCTGGCTGAAGTCAGACGCTTAACCGACTGCGCCACCCAGGCGCCCCTAAACTCTACTTTTGAAAACAATCACTTTGGAAAAGTTTGCCCTTCTTCAATACATTTGAAGATATGTACACTTAACCTAGCAACTGCACTCCTAAATAAACACCTTTGTTGGTTTTCTTCCATTTGCTCTCCAAATTACTGGCCAAGTTATTGGCCCTTGACCATGCTTTTGTCTAGTAAGGGGCCATGGCAATGGGGAAACCACTACAGGAGATTTCAGGAAGGAAAGCAGATGAAGTTGGGTATTTATTCCCACATGTAATTTTGGTATGATCATCTTGAGCAGGCTAGGTCCCTTGACCGAAGGTCACAACTGTTTTTTTTGTGTTTTTTGTTTTAATGTTTATTTTTGAGGGAGAGCATAAGTGAGGGAGGGGCAGAAACCGAGAGACAGATGTTCCAAAGCAGGTTCTGCACTGAGACTGAGTGTGCAGAGCCCAACAAACTCACGAACCTTGAGATCACGACCTGAGCTGAAGTCAGATGCTTAACTGACTGAGCCACCCAGGTGCCCCTAGTCACAACTTCTTTATACTGTGTTCTCTGCTCTCTTCAGTTTCTGATAATCCTTTCCTTCCCTCACCCCATCAGCCTGGGAGTGGCAACAGAGCCTTGCTCTTATTAGTTTTGGGGTGCTGCGGTATCTTTTGTGGTTCCCCCACACCTTTGTAAATGGTCCTTAAATTCATCTCACAATACAAACGTTTTTCCTGCCCAGAGCCCTAACTGATACAATGTCTTGGGGAAAATATTGAACATGTTCCTTAGGAAGTATGTACAAGAATGCTCCTAGAGTCCCCTCCCTACGGAAAATAAAAAAACAACCTCAATGCGACCTGGGTATAAGCATACATGACAACATCCCTCACAACCTTGTGACATGAGACCACTTAATCAAAGAAGTAAAAAATATGTAAAGAACTATGCCACGTGACGTTCGGGGCTCAGTTCTTCAGGTACAAACCCAACTGAGCAATGCCAGCATGAAGAAAGTTGCCTCCTGGAAAGAAAAGCCTCGGTATCACGACTCTGTGTAAGAATCCTGCTAAACTAGCAGCACTGTAATAGCCAAAAATGGAAAATAAACCAGATATTAATTTAATTCTACCATTGTATATTCATGTCTATTCAAACAATTCAATTCTATATAGTGGCAAAAATGAAGGCAGTAAGCCAACAGTAGATGAATATCACAAACAATCTAGAGTAAAAGAAGTAAGTCATAGATGGCAAGTCATGGCATGCCATCAGCATGAATACATTTGTAAGCAGTGCAAAATAGTTAAAACTGTTGTGTTGAGGATTTATCCATATGAGATCAGATTACTAAGAAAAGCAAGTATGTTACTGTCCTGAAAGTTAGAATAAAGGTTTCTTCTCTAGGGAGATAGTGAAATGTGACTGGGGAGTGGTACATAGAGCTGCTGGGATACTATCAGTGTTCCATTTCTTGGGTGGTTGATTGCATGGAGGTTGCCTTTAAAAATATTCTTTAGGGGCACCTGGGTGGCTCAGTAGGTTGAGCGTCCCACTCTTGATTTTGACTCAGATCATGATTTCATAGTGTGTGGGATCGAGCCCCACATCAGGCTCTGTGCTGACAGCATACAGCCTGCTTGGGATTCTCTCTCCTCTCTGCCCCTTCCCCTGCTCACTTGCACACACACTCTCTCTCTCTCAAAATAAATAAGTAAACATTAAAAAAATTCCTTAAGCTGTGCATACGTATTTTATACACACTTGTTCATATGTGACCCAAAATCATAATAAAAAACCAATTCACAAAGTTCCTGAAAATTTAACAATCTGATCCTGCAAGCCAGTACAAGCTAGCTGCTACATGTCATTCTCCATGATACACTCCAAACATAGGCGTGGCATTCAAAGCCATTCAAGTCCGACTGCACAGCTTATAGTTTCCTGAATAGACCAAGCTATTTCTCCCCTCTGGTATGAAGCTTGCTCCCTCGGTCCTGAATGTGCTTCCTGAATGTGTTTTTGCTGTCTCCCACCATTCACAACTACTCATCTTTCAACTCAGTCCAGGGGCTGCTTTCAGGAGAGGGCCCTGCCCTCTGGAAAAGCTGATCAGTCATCCCTTTGTGCTTCCATTTCTCTATGAGGACACTGAAACATTCTTCACTATGGCTTTGCTGTGGTCTTGTCCCACTAGACTGCAGATTGCTAGAGATCCTAGGCTGTCTTCACTGATCTCCAAATTCTAGGTGTGAAGTATATGGCGTGGCGCTTAGTGCTACTATCATTTGATGACCTATAAATGAATAAATAATATGTAACCAAAGAGTGGTGTCTATTACTATCTTACTGTTTTTCTCTGGGAAGACAGGTGGTGGCTGATGTAAGTGGCTGCACTCAAGCTGGGCTCTGAGGGATGGGCCTTCCAGAAAGAAGGAATTGTGTTTCTTTTCTTTTATTGGACATTGGCTTGCGTTATAAATGTTTTATCACTGTGTGTGGCCTTTTGGGTGGCTTGGAAGTATTTGGAAGAAGGCTCCAAATGTTACTATTAACCTAAGGCTTAAAAAAATGCTTTTTAAGGAAATATTCCATTTTGAAAACCATACTTGGTGCCTAGTGCTGATTTTTTTTTTTTTTTAAGTAATATTCCATTTTGAAAAGTGGTAATAGATTTGAACATACCTGGTGCTGGTAGGATTTTAGTGAACTTCACAGAGCGATGGAGTTTATTTCCCTGGAGCAAAAACTGTTCTTTTGTTGTATAATTCAGGGATAATCAGTTTTGCTTTGTAATGCAGAGCAAAACAGTTGGATTAACAGTTGTTCAAGAAAAACTCAAATGCTATTATGGTGAGTAATGGAAACATTCCATTTGTTAAGCAAACCATAATATTGAACTGTTCTTACAAATGTGATGTAATTTCTAATTGTTGCTCAGCGAGACTGAAGATAATTCAGAGGCAAATAGTGTTAACGCTTTACTTCTAACCCGTCTCTTTTTATTATGATTTCAAACTCCTAAAACATTCATATACATAGATATACATACCTTAGATATGTGTGCACACACACACAACCTCTACCAAACCCTTGTCTATTGAAATCTGTCTACCCTTGTAAGACCTCTTGAAAATGTCCACTTCTTTACATTTTTTTTCATTAGCTTATTTCTCTTTAAATCATCTTGTGCATTTTTATAGACAATGCTCTCTTATGCGTGTGTGCGTGTGCGCGAGCTTGCGCACGCGCATGCGTGTAAAAAGGTGGGTCAGTTCTGGGGTCAAATCTAGTTCTGTTTTATGAGGACTTAGGTTTTTGGGTTTTTTTTCACTCCTAGAATGTGCTAATGTGAGATGTGCCATTGTTTTGTTTGGTTTTATTTTGTAACCCGTTGAACCCACTGTGCTCAGGTGCTGTGGATTCAGGGCAGAAGTTCCGGTTGTCCTCCAATACTCTGTTTTTCTTCACTATTACTAGAATTTCAGCTAGACACACGGTTGTCCTGAATAGATTACTCTATTGGATCAATTTTATAAATCGCTAAGAAATAATACCCAAGACGGGGAGTCCAACAGCTCACGACTGCATTAAAATGGGATACCAAGGTTTGGGAGAAGAAACTGAGAGACTTTATTCCAAGGAAAATTCTGGAAGCCCATTTAGGAGTGATTTAATACTGAAGTTCTAAGTGTTGGTTACAAATCCAGCCTCGACGTTTCTCAAAGTTGTACGAAGCACCGAAGTGTGAGTTGGGCGTCTTCGCACAGCGCTTCACCTCAGGTGAAACAAATCCTGAGACGGTGCAAGCCGCACCCGCAGGCAGACCCGCCCAGGCGGCTGCTCTGGGCTGCGCAGGAAAACGCGGGGCAAGCGGCCCCGAGACCACCTAGAACCGAGAGCCACAGAGCGGCCCGACCGAGCCTTCCCGCTCGCGCGCTGCGCCCCCCACCCCCCGCGGGGGCGCACATGGACCCCGCCCGAAGCAGCCCGGGTCGCCGGGCGGCGGCGCGAGAGCTACTGCGAGGGGCGGCCGCGGCCGCGAAGGGCCTTCGGGAAGATCTGAGGGGCGCGGTGGTCCGACCCTGGATCCCGAAGCATGAGGGGCCCCGAGAGGAGGCGGCGGCGGGACACGAGATCCGTGAGTTCCAGGACGCGGGGCGCAAACGTGGCGGCGGCGGCGCCTAGTGGGCGCTTCAGGACTCCGGGCTGGGCGCCCACCCGCCGCCCCCGCAGCCCCTGTGGGCTAGTTTGCCCACCCAAGTTTTGGCTCAGACTGTTTTATTTCAGGTGAAGCCTCTACTGTGGATGGAAGGAAAGAGTTGCTCTTTCAATTTAAGGAAGAGTGGTTTTTGGGTTTTTTTGTGTGTGTTTTGTTTTTTAAATAATTACGCCCTATTGCAAATACGGAAAGAGTTTTATATGCTGTTATCTCCTATATCCTGACTCATGCAATGATTTATTGTGTGACTTTAAATCACTTAATCTTTCTGTGCTTAGGTGTTTGAAAGCATGGGATGGGTCTTTTGTGCCTTGAGATTAAATTTATAGCATAAACTGAGATTGTTCAAGAATCTTTAAAAGTTGAGAATGATTTCCAGACTGTTAACAGAGCACCAGTTCCTTAATAATGTTTATTTAGTTCGTCCATCTGTCCATTCATTCATTCTAGAAATATTTTCAAGAGCTTACTACTTACTGGACATATTTTAGATGAGTATGAAGTCGGAGCATGACAGCCCTTCTGGTTTTGGTGGAGGGTTGATAGACGAAAAAATTAGTAACAGAATAAGAAGTTATTTTAAAGCAGTGATCATTACTGCGGAGGCCACATAGCCTAACCCCATTTTAGGAAGTTTTTCTCCTGTGTCTTCTTCTAAAAGTTTTATAGTTTTATGTTTTACGTTTTCCTCTATGATCTATTTCGAGTTAATTTTTGTGTAAAGAATGAAGTTTAACATCAAGGCTCATTTGTTTTGTTTTGTTTTGTTTTGTTTTGTTTCATTTTGGACGTCCAGTTGTTCAAATACCATTTGTTGCAATGATTATCCTTTCGCTGCTGTCACAGACTTTACACCTTTGTCAAAAATCAACTGGCTATATTTGTGAGAGTTTATTTCTCGACTCTGTATTTTGTTCAATCCATCTGTGTGTTTCTCTGCCAATACCATGCTGTATTGATTATTGTAGATTTATAATAAGTATTGTGACTCTTCCAATTTTATTCTTCTTTTTCAAAATTGTTTTGGTTATTCTAGTTCTTTTGCCTGTCCATATAGGTTTTAGAATCATCTTGTCTGTAGCTACAAAATATCCTTTTGGCATTTGATTGAATTGCATTAAATCTATGGGTCAGTTTCATATAATTGACATCTTTATTACATCTTCCAATTCATGACATCATGTATCTTCATTTATTTAGGTATTCTTTAATTTTTCTCATCAGTATTTTGTGTTTTTTTGGTATTAGAGAAACTGGAACTTTTGTTGGATTTATATACTTTTAAGTATTTTGATTTTTGATCATTTTAATTATAATTTTTAAAATGGTATTATTTTTAAATTTTGGTTTCCATTTGTTTAAGCCAATATATAGAAAGATGGTTGATATTTATGTGTTGACCTTGTATCCTACAACTTTGCTAAACCCACTTATTAGTTCTAGAGCTGCTTTATACATTCTTTTGGATTTTATATGCAGATAATAAAATTGTTTGCAACTAGACTAGAGACATTTCGATTTCTTGCCAATCAGTATGCGTTTTAATATACTTTTACTGCTCTGTTGTCCTGGCTAACACTTCCAGCACTGTGTTTAAGAGTTAGACTGGACATTTCTGTTTGTTCCTGGGTAAAGAAAGCATTGACATTTTTATGAGTAAGTAGAATGTTAGCTGTTAGTTTTTTGTAAATGCTCTTTATCAGGTTGAAGAAGTTCCCTTCTATTCCCAGTTTGCTGAGAGGGTTTTTTGGTTTTTGTTTTTAATCATAAATGGATGATGATTTTTTTAAATGCTTTTTCTGCATCAATTAACCATATAATTTTTCTTCTTTAGACTACCTGTATATACATTGCTTGATTTCCAAATAAGGAACGAATTTTACATTCTCAGGATAAACCTTACTTGGTGTGTTAAACTTTCTGTGTATCACGGGATGTGTTTTGATAATGCTTGTTCAGACAGTTTTGCATCGATGTTTATGAGGGATATTGGCTTGTAGTTTTTTATTCTCATAATGTCTTTGGTTGTAGAATCAAGGAAATGCTGATCTCATAAGATGAGTTGGGAAGTTTTTCCTCTTCTTGTGTCAGGTTATCTATATAATCTTGAATGAATTTGGGTAGTTTGTGATTTTTGAGAAATTATTTCATTTCATCTAAGTTGTAGAATTTATGTGAATGGAATTGTTCATAATATTCCCTTATTCCTTTCATGTGTGTGGGAACGGTAGTGCTGTGCTCTCTTTCATTCCTTACATTGGTAATGTGTGTTCTCTCTCTTTCTCTCTTTTTGGTCAGTGTTGCTAGAGGTGTATCGATTTTATTGATGTATTCAGAGAAGCAGCTTTTGTTTTCATTGATTTTCTCTATTGTTTATCTTTTTTCAATTTTATTGATTATTGCTCTTACCTTTGCAATTTTTCTTCTGTCTGCTTGACTTAGGTGTTTTTTGCTTTTAGGTTTTTACTTTCTTAAGGTAGGAATTTACATTACTGATTTGCAAGCTTCTTTTCTAATAACTTAATGCTATGAAGTTCCCTCTTATAATGCTATGAATTTCCCTCTTAGCACTGCTTTAGCTGCATCCCACACATTTTGATATATTTTATTTTTATTTTTATTCAGTTCAAAATATTTTCTAATTTCTCTTGGGTTTTCCTCTTTCATATGTGGTTTATATGTATGTATGAGAAATTGGAAGTTTTGTTAATACTGAGCATACTACCCTTGGTAATATTGTTCTGGAGGTAGATGGTGGCTTCCCAATCCTCCCATCCACCCATCTAGCAAATATTTATTGAACACCTATTAGCACTAGGTACTGGACTTATTTCAGCTTCCTCGTGGATATTGTATTCTGGTGAAGGAAACAGATACTGAGAAAGTAAACAAATGTAATATTAATGTCGAGTAGTATCAAGTGATATGAAGAAAAAGTGAGGTAGGGCACAGGGGCAGAGAATGACAGGAGACAGGGGTTTGGACGGTCAGACATGATTTTTCAGAAGTGGTACCATTTGAGCAGAGACCTGAATGAAATGCAGGAGGCTTGTTTTTCTATCTCAGCATTATCTCCTCCTGTTTTGGCCCTCTTGCTTCATACTTACCCAAATTTTGAAGGCATTAGAGTTTTTGACCCCTAAAAGTTTAAGTGAATGATACAGCTCTGTGTAATGTGTTGCTTGGTGCTGAACATTTAACATTTCCTTGATCTTATCCATTTCCAAAAAAATAAAAAAAGACATATATAGCACAGTACTCTAAATATTACTTAGCCAAGCTGAAAATTGGTATGTTTATGATTTGTATCGATAATTTTTTCAACTCTGTCACTTACTAGCTGGAAGGTAGACAATGGTGTGTTGGTAAATGTTTAATTACCAGCTCTCTGGGGGGACTAGTTCTGATTTGAAGTATTTTCCACTTTCCTTTGTGTAATACTTTCACCATAACTGATTTAAAGCTACAGTTTTTTCATTGGGAAGGGATACAGCCAGTTTATTAGTCTGTACAAACTGGCGTCTTCATACTGCTAAAGGTAGGTTTTATAATATCCATTTTACATTTGAATCTAAAAATTCAGAATTGTTACAAGGTTACTTAATTAGTAAATTGTGGGCAAGTCAGCAAAGATTTTGAGCCCTAGAAATTCCCATGTAGTTGGCTTGGGTTTAAGAATCTGGCATGGGTTTTTTGTTTTTGTTTTTTTTAAAGGGATCCTGTTTAGGGGCGCCTGGGTGGCACAGTTGGTTAAGCATCCAACTTCAGTTCAGGTCATGATCTCATGGTTTGTGGGTTCAAGTCCTGCATCAGGCTCTGTGCTGACAGCTCAGAGCCTGGAGCCTGCTTTGGATTCTGTGTCTCCCTCTCTCTCTCCGCCCCTGCCCCACTCATGCTCTGTGTCTCTCTCTCTCTCAAAAATAAATGAAACATTAAAAAAAAAAAGAAGTTTAAAGGGATCCTGTTTATTTTATTGTGAAGCCTGAGTTAAGAACCATTGATTTAATGGATTAAGAATCTTGCATGGTGCTTCCAATTGGTCTTAGAAGTTGCCTCAAAATTAATTTTTCTTATAGATGTAGGAGAAAAGGGACAAGGTATTTGACTTCATGGACAGAATAGAATGTGTGTGCCATATTTCAGGACATCACAAGGTCTTGATTTGCCCTGGGACATACCCAAGAGGGAAAAGACCCAGAACTAGAACTGCACTCCCATTGGATTAATACATAGGGGCAAGGAGCTAGTGTCAGGGCCATGTGGGATCAAGGACAGAGTTGAGAAAAGTCTGGTTTAACTGACAGAATACATTAGCTAAAGCATCTGATAGAGTAAGCAGTTTGAATCTCCACTTCAGTAATACAGTTTCATATGGACACCCTGGACCTCTGCAGTGACTGAAAGCTTGGTGTTTGGATTCAGACTACCTGGAATAGTTCTATCATTTATTGTCTTTAAGACATGAGCAAGTGTTTTAACTTTTCTAAGTCTCATTTTCCTCATCTGGAAGATGGCAGTGATAATGTCTACTCCACCATGTTCTTAATTTCGTAAAAACTCCAGAGTGCTCCAACATTTAGAGATCAAGCAAAGGAGGAAGAGCCAGTAAAAGAGATTGGAAAACAGGAGGTAGTCTATCAGAGGCATGGAGAAGAATGTTAAAAGGATGGTATGGCCCTTGGTCAAATCTGTCAAGAGTTTAATGCACACAAAGAAAGTGATGACTGGCTTTGGGCAAGATCGAGTGACCCTAATAAGCACAGATTCAGTGAAGTGATAGGAATGAGATCTGATTAGCATGGAGGTGAGATGAAACAGGTGAGGAGGAGGAGAGTGGTTATAGAACACATAAGAATTTGGGGAGCAATGGGAGATTAAGAAATGGAGTGGCAGTTGGAAAGGATGTGAAGTTAAGAGAATGTTTTTTTCACTGAAGGTTTTATAGCAGCTCTGTATATGTTGAGGGGAATGGTCCACTGGAGAATGCAGAGGAGAATGGGGTAATTTCCGTGAGATTGATACATGAAATAATTGAAAAGACGAGAAGGGTGGGATCCAGAGCCCAATGGAGCGGTTGGCCTTGGGTAGTCATAGGGCTGTTTCATTGAGTGTAAGAGTAGTAAAAGCAGAAAGTGTGGGTGTAAAAGTAGGTTGGTAGACTCAGGGGTGAGAAAATATGGAAATTATTATCTAACTGCTTATGTTTTCTCTATGCACTATTATTAACTGAGAGTTACATATTGGTGATCATGGATACTAAAGTAGGCAAATTAGTAGATTAAAATATGTGAAAAGAAAGAAAAAGTCATGGAATTGAAAAATGGAAGCCTAGGGAAATGAAGTAGGATTGCTGTGATAAGATCCTACATGAGATTAATGGGTAAGAATTTAGGAGTATGTTATTTATGGGTAGTATGTTAGCATGTGTAGTCAGGATAAACCAGATTTTCCTGCAGCAACAAATCACCCCTAAGTCTTGAGTGACTGAATATAATAAAGATCTACTCTTGCTCAGACAACATGTCCAACAGAAGGGTTTCTGCTCTACCTAGTTTCTCAGGAACCTATGTGTCAAGAACTGTAAAGAGGCCATGATTTTACTCTACTTGCAAGCTAACAAGTTAGCCTACCATGGCATCATGGATGCTAGCAGAAGACACTTCCGATCAGACACAGAGGATTGTAGTGCTCACAGTAGGAGCAGTAGCCAGCGTGTCAGCGTTTGTGTCATTTCTGTAAGCCCCATCTCCAAGGAGATGCAAAGCCCCTTGGGTTGTGTTACAGAAGAATCCTGCACTTAGGGAATCCAAATCTTTTCTAATGGGCATGCCTTACTCTCTCTCTGTCTGTCTTTTAAGGCAAGCCATAAGCAATCCAGCCCCATGCTCCAGAGATGCATTTTTATCTATCTTCTCTGATGTAGTTCACTGTGCACACATTCTGAAAAAGATGGTCTAGAGCAAAATCAGTCAGTGCTTCTGTTTATCAGATACAGAGAAACATAAGAGACCTGTGGAGAATTGTCTCCCAGTGCCAAACTAATTGAGGCACTGCCATCTTATGACCCCTTGTATTAGTTTGCTAGGGATACTGTAACAAAGTACCACAGGTAGGGTGGCTTAAACAACAACAATTTGTCTCAGAGTTTTTGAGTCTAAAAATCCTAGATCAAGGTGTCAGCAGACTTAATTTTCCCTGATGCCTCTCTCCTCAGCTTGTAGATAGCCATCTCCTCCCACTGTCTCCACATGGTCTTTCCTGTGTCATGTGTGTTCCAAATTTCCTCTGTTAGAAGGACACCAGTCATATTGGATTGGGGCCCACCCGAGTGACCTCATTTTAATTACCTCTTTAATGATTCTATCTACCACCTGGGTGGCTCAGTTGGGTAAACGTCCAACTCTTGGTTTCAGCTCAGGTCATGATCTCACAGTTCATGGGATCAAGCCCCACATCTGGCTCTGTGCTGACAGTGGGGGACCTGCTTGGGGTTCTGTCTCTCTGCCTCTCTCTCTGCCACTCCCTTGCTCATCCTCTCTCTCTCTCTCTCTCTCTCTCTCTCAAAATAAATAAACAAATGTTTGAAAAAAAAAAAGGACTCTACATAGTCACATTTTGAGGTACTGGGTGTTAGAACTTCAGTAGATAAATTTTGAGGGAATACAGTTCAGCTACAACACTGCAGCGTTTAAACACATGGCTTTGAGGGTTGATAAAATGGAAAGAGTGCACCTGGAGGGTGTCACAGAAGCTTTTCACTTGCTCAGCCCCAAGTAACCTACTATCCCCTCTTCTTCTATTCCAGGGGACAGACCTCACCTTAACTGCACCCAGGCCAGGATGTGTACTTACCCATGTGTTCAGAAAGGAGAGGAGAACTAGATAGTGATGAACACTAGTCATGTCTCCCGCACCATGGTGGTGTGTTTCTCTCCAGTACTATTCAGCTGCTCAGGTGCAGAGGTGGAACAGGTAGCAGTTGAGTTTAATGTCAGAATTAGGATTCTGTCAGCTAGTCTGATGAGAAAAGAGAGTGGCAAGGGAAGTAAAGGTGTTTGTATAGAAGTGATTTCAGTGATGGACTAGAAGATCTAAACTGAGTAAAGAGCAGAGTAAGGGCCTAAGGGATGAATAATATGAAAAGCTGGTGAGAACAGTGGATGGGAGGACTTGATGAGGTTGCAGAATTTGGAGACTGGAAGAAGTAGAGCAGGTGAGGTGGATGGATGAGGTGGTGGTCAGATAATGAGTTTCTTGAAGATGTCAGAGGTAATGTGGTTTCTGATGATGATGTCAAGAGTATGACCCTGAAAAATGGGTGACTGAGATCAGGTGGATGGAAAGATTATTGTAAGTGAAAGAGTCAGGGTCAGATTTATCATCTGTGTGGATGTTGAAGTTACTTAGAGTGGGGACAACAGGCAGAGTAGAAAGGAAGAGGGGGATCCAGGTGATAAAATGAATGTGTGTTTCTCCCGTGAAGATACTCCTAGTCTTTGATTAGATTTGGTAGTACTCTAAAGAGTCTTTGACAGGGGTGCCTGGGTAACTCAGTTGGTTGAGCATCCAACTTCGGCTCAGATCATGAGCTTGTGCTTCATGGGTTTGAGTCCTGCATTGGGCTCTGTGTTGACAGCTCGGAGCCTGGAGTCTGCTTCAGATTCTTTGTCTCCCTCTCTCTCTGCCCCTCTCCCACTTGCTCTCTGTCTCTGTCTCTCAAAAATAAATAATATTAAAAAAAATTTTTTTTAAGTCTTTGTCAAATTGTGTTGTTGTTGTTGTTGTTATTATTATGAAACTACTTGGCAACACATCCACAAAACCTCCTCCAGAGTTCTTTTTTTTTTTAGAGATGGTCTATTGCTGATTTCATATCATTCATTCTTGATATCATTTTTCATATTATTAATTGTGACTTTATCCCCCAGTATTGGGGTTGTCCCCTGAGAGCCCTCCAGTTCCCCTACATTAAAAAAACTGGGTGGCTCAGTCGATTGAGCCTCTGACTTCCTGAGAGTCATGATCTTGCGGTTTGTAAGTTTGAGCCCTACATAGGGCTCACTTCCATCAGCGCAGAGCCCTCTTTGGATCCTCTGTCCCCATCTCTCTGCCCCTCCCCCCCTTATTCTCTCTCTCTCTCTCTCTCTCTCTCTCTCTCTCTCTTTCAAAAATAAACATAAAAAAAAAAGAAACAATGAGAGAGCATAGCATAAAAAAAAAAAAAAAACAATACATTCTGAAATCTTCCCTAGGCTAGTTAATAAAACCTGCCACCTGAATGTGTATTATGTGTGTGATATGTAGTGTTTATAGTAGGTGTGAATCTCTTTTTATATAAATGAAACATGTTCATCCCTTTTAGACTTTGTGTATATTTATGTGATGTGCTACATTTTAAGGATTTTTTTCTGCTGGCCTGGCATCTGCACAGGCTTCTGCAGACAATTTTATCTCTGTAAGCTTGTATGGAGCATTTGGGCTCCTGCCTGTCTCATCTTTTACAAACATTTTATTAAAACAAAACAAAACAAAACAAAGTCTGTGGCCACACTCCGATCTCCTAGAGGCAGAGACCACATTGCTGACTTCAGGGTGGTCCTTGGGAATGATGTTTTGTTTGGGACCAGGAAATATTTTTAAGGGTGTGAAAATACTTGCATTGTGAGCACAAAGTGGAGTCTTGATAATACAGCTTTGCAAAATATTGATACAAAGTTCTCATGTCCAGAATAGTAGAATGTGAAAGGGTGAAGGCTGTTTTTATTTAAAGTTACCAGGTTTGCGTGAGGTTTGCTTTTTTCCTTCGTCCCCCTTAAATTCTTCAGTCATGCTTTGCTTGCTTGCTTTCAGTACTGCCAAATGAGAGAAGCTTTCAGAATGCTGCAAAAAGCAATAATTTGGATCTTATGGAGAAGCTGTTTGAAAAGAAGGTTAACATTAATGCTGTGAACAATGTGAGTACAAGTCACAGATGTGACAAGTGACTACTCTAAGGGTGGCTTGGATTTATACAGTGCAATTTAAATAATAATAACAATTGAAATGATTGTGGCAGATGAGGTGTGGGCTAGCTCCTTCGGTGGTAATTCCAGAATGTTTAAGCTAAAGGTGGAATCAAGCCATGGGATAGGTTCTGAGTCTTTTAATATATCTTATCAGAGGGGAAATACACAGAGTCTTTGTGTGCATCTGTGCAAAATCTGTGGGTGGGCAGTAAAGCCAATTGTCAGGGTTATGGGCCTGGACTTGGTCCTGGATTGTAGCCTGTGTATCACTGGCCTCATACATTCTGGAAAGGCAGAACATCTTTTGCTACACAGTTCATCATTGGTTTTTCTCCAGAGATTCCCTTTGTTGTTCAGTCCTGAAAATTTAAAATCTAAGGGAGAGCATGGCTTTGTATTTTATTGCTTTAGAAGTACAGTGCATTTGCATGTTGGGCACTGGAGCCTTTTCTAAAACCTGGCTCTTAATTGTTCTTCAAGTACTTGGGTTTAGGAGAGAAGTCCACTGCCAGAAATACTGGATTTCCTACTGCTTGGTTTTGTAGAGATTTCCTGACAGCTTTTCAAGGCAAGGTTTATCAAAGTGGGGGCTGTGTTAATTACTTAGGACAATTAGTGCAAGTGGTTCAAGGGGATAGCAGAGGTGGATTTAGTGCTAAATGAAGCATAAGCTTTAGGGTCCCTTCTTGTACAGACCCCTTCCAAGGTACTGGGGAGGGCTCTGGCAATGTGTTCTCATGGTTATATGTTTTTTTTTTTTTTTTAATCTGAAAAAGTAAGAAACTTTAACTGCCATCAATTCAGCTCTCTGACTGGCTTTAAAGAGAGCTCCCTGAAGAGTGTAGAGTTTAGGTTCCACAAAACCTGGATCTGTCCCAGGCAGTGAGATCATAAGAATTGAAGTCATGTATCATACGCAGTGGAAGGATGTTTACCAGTTGAGCATGTGTGTCTGTGAGAGGTATATGTTTGCTTGTATATGGAAATTCATATGTCTGTGTATATACTGTGTGCGTGTGTGTGTCTGATGTGTTATGGTTGTATTTAGTATTTATTGTCCATAGACATCCTAGAAAGAGTAGAAAAATAGAGTTTTGCAGCGTAACAATTTTAGGAACCAAACAAAAACAAAAACCAAAAAAAAAAAAAAAAAAGAGGAAAGAAGGAAGGGAGGGAGTGAAAAGAAAAGCAAGGGCCTTTGAAAGTAATATCTACATAAATTGTTGAGTAAGTAAAGCAATAATCATTTTTCCAAGTAGCAGGGAATAGATTCTTTAATGTACTTTCATAATAATTAAAATTTTTTTCACATAAGACTTTATGACATTTTAAACCATATTTTTATATTAAAGTATTTAGAGAGATTTAATGCTAAATGAAGCATCATTTAGGGCACAGCAAATTATCATGACCTCTTGATGAATTGTATTACTTTTTTTAAGTTTATTTATTTATTTTGAGAATGAGAGAGTATATACCTGCACATGTGCACAAGCAGGGGAGACGCAGAGAGAGAATGAGTGAGAGAATCCCAAGCAGACTCCGCACTATCAGCACATAGTCTGACGCGGGGCTCAATCTCACCAACTGTGAGATCATGACTTTAGCCAAAACCAAGAGTCGGACACTTAACCAACTGAGCCACCCAGGTGCCCTGTATTATACTTTCTAATGACATCTCTTTTAGTCCCATTTACAGCAAATTGTTGATATGGTTGTTTGTAGAGTTGCTTAAAATCTGTGACGATAGAGATGAAGAAATACATGTAAGTGGTTTTATTGAATTATCTTGGATGCTGTTTTGGCTTGACATACTAGAACACAGCTCTAGATTGCAGACAGTGTCACGATAACTCATGTTTTGTCAAACTTAATTTATCATCAGCTTAGCTACCAAGGATATTAGATACTTAATTTTTGCAATAAATTATTTATTTGAAACAAAGGAGTAAATCCACGCGCAGGCACCTTCTTTGGATGCAAAAACAGTGCCTAGAGTATAGGAAATAAGATCTGTGTTTTAGATGCATGCTAAACATCCATTGTCTGGAACACAATCAACTATGAAAATCCCAGGAGTGCCTTCTTGGCTTTTCTTTTTTTTTTTTTTTATTTATATATGAAATTTATTGTCA